TTTCCACAAACGACGCCAAATGATGTTGTGCGATCCGGGCACTCCTAGCTGGCTGGAACTTGGCTCCTAGTTGCGACAGACGACACCTGAGATGAAGAGGAGCGTGAAGAAATCCCAGGTAACTCTACCGGCGGGAACACTCCGATGCTTAAGTTAGAATTCTGAGAAGACTCAAGGAAAATGCAGAGAGAAAACTAAAAGTGCTAATTGCACTAGCTTCAATACCTTTGCTTCGTGAGGGTTGGGGTTCTCTTATACCGGAGCTCTGTCAAATCTGGCGTAACCGCCTCTGTCGCAGCCGTTACTGCCAGGGCTGAGGTGGCGCTTGCAGGCATCCGTTGCAGGGTATGGATTCGTCAGGCGTGCCATGCTTTTCAGAGATGGCAGGCACGACGCCACTTGGTGAGAGACGTGGGCGCTGCCTCCAGATCCGGTAGGTATGGCTATCAGGCGGATCTTCCCTACAGGTTGCCGAGCTACTTTGCACCAAACTACCTTGGGCCGAACTACCCTACACCGAGGTGCTTACACTAGAGGCAAACCTTAGGCAAGTATGGACAGAAGAGTTGACGGTGCTGTCTCGAAGTGTTCCTACCTTGGGACACTTAGCCAAAAGTCGGGGTGTTCCCCTCTTAGGAAGGAAGAGCTCGGGGCTCATTAGGAGGAGCTCAGGTCTCGACCCTTAGGGTGGATTTGGGATGAGCTGGGTCTCGCTTCCTGGCGAGTTACCACATCCGCCAAGTTGTTCAGCTGGGCCTCGGCGAGCTTGTTACGCCGAGTTGTGGCCAGGCTGTCGCGCTGAGTCGTCACCTATGCCAGGTCATGTCCACGTGCTACGAGGTCGGGCCAAATCACCCTATATCAAATATCACCATTATTACTTAATATTTAGGGACATATGAATGGATAAAAAGCATTTATGATATCCATTCAAAGAGGCAATGAAGGAAGAAAATCATTCAAAGAGCTGCTAAGAAAACAATCAATTTCAAACAACTTTTGCAGATGCATCCATCCTCTAAAGTAAGCGTTGAAAAATATATGACTACAATCAAATCATCATCATGTATGGCTACAATCAACTGATAATATAATTAGGACTCCAAAGCCCATCCAATAAAGGAAACATGTAAGAAAGGAGAATAATGTGACCATCCTAAGTATGGAAGTCACCTCCAAGTTAGGTGGCAATGCTTCTTTTGGTCAATCATGGTTATGGATTTTAAGTCTAAGCTCTCCACAATGCACGTAGACTGTCTAAAATTTATCTTTAGGAAAAGATAGGGTAACCTGTACATAACCTAATGGTATGTTTGAATTATGGGAATTGGGAGATAGAAATAGAAAATGTAGGTTGAAATTATAATTTTGGGCATGTTGATGTGTCAAATTCAAGTCAATTAGAATACTCATAGATTTTTAGTTCATTCATTTAGTGGTAAT